ATTAGTAATTAGAAGATTTTCCTGGAAATTATCTTCTGATATGTTGGTAAATATCAGAATTTACTTAAGAAATGCCTTCATGTACGATAATAATTACCGAAAATTGCTAGATATAGCCTTTTCATGTTTCAGTAATTTCGATAATTTTCTTTTTAGGAAATCTGAATATATCATTCAATGCAAGAGAACAAGTTATTAGATATGTTAAATTAACATTTATTGATTTCGCTTGTAAATAACCAACAAATAAAGGAACAACTTCATCTTTTAATCTAAAAATTAAATTTCTTTTTGTTAGCAAAATAAAATACGAAAATTCATTCTCTTACAATGATTACCAAAATTATTCAATAAGGTTTATTTGCAATCTTTTTTTTTTGTGTCGCTATCGTAAACGTTGGAAAGATTTCAAATAGTAATTCGAGTAGAGAAAACTGCTTCCAAAAGGAATAGTAAAAGCAAACAATAATAATTATTCGACTTGTCAGAAAATTACTATTTTCTATGAAAAAAGCATCCTTTGGCCTTCAATGATAATAATTTTTATTTCCTTATTTTATCTACTCAAATCACTATTTTGGTTCTTTCTAATGCTTACGACAACGGTAAAATATGCGTTGTTGAATAATTTTGATACCCACTGTTTATATAAGTGAATTACGACTTTTAGTAAAAATGGTTTTAAATAATAAAAAATAGGCATAAACAATGTTTAAGTAGTACATTCGATTACACTTTATGCTGATATTATACTGCAAAAGTTTTCTAACAGTTCATTGAATATGAAACAAGAAATATTGTGTAAAGTTTTATTGTTGATGAATTCAATGATTAAATTGATTTTATTTGATGAAAAGGCTCGAATAATTTTTGTAGTTCCGAAGAGAAATTGAGTATTCAGGAACAACTCGCAATACATTTAGACTTGTCCATTGAATTCTTTTGAGTTCAATTATAGATGAGAAGAATATTTTTGACGTGGTTCTATTGGGAATTTTCTACAGAGAGAACGTTACTATACATTTTTTGATATAATATGAATATATTCAGAAAAATAAAATTTAGAGAATTGAAGTTGTTTTCATTAATATAACTTTTTGAGTTCTATTGAATCTGAAAATTTCCATGAAACGAAAACAACCGTTCATGATTTATAGATTGAACAAGTTTCAAAATGTTACTGTACAAAATCAATGAATTCACTATGTTTTCATTACTTCAGTTCCTCTTTCTCTAATATATAAATAAGAAAAGATAAACATACTTATGTGAAAAAGTTCTCCATTATTTGTTATATTATTATTTTTTTTATTCTAACCTTTTCTAGCTTGCAGAGACTGTGGTTTTGTATCGATGTACTTTAAAAGAATAAGTATCTGTCCTCGAGTGTCAAGAGTAGACGTATACGAATACAAAGATTTGCAGATCAGTGAATTACATGATTCAATAGAGTAATATCCAAGCTACACAAAAGCCTACTTATATTCCTTTTTTGTATTTCTTTCTTTTCTCGGACGAGTAACTCTTTTACATATGTCTCGCTTAAAAATGCCATTTTTTTTCTAAATGTTAACCCTACAAACTTAGAAATGATATAATATAGAAACATAAAATTTATTGTGAATGTCTGAAGGAACACGAGTGAACAAATTAAAATATCCATTTTATAATAGTTCAATCCGAACGCAAGTTATAGTGTAGATACTTGAAAACACCAATTGTACAAAAAAAAATGCAATTTACTCATACATTTAAAGATTATCTTAGATTAATTGAAGCTATACAATAATTATTTCTCTTAATCTGCGCAATTATTATGCAGTCATAATATGTGTATGTAACAACAATCTTTTTGTTCTCTGTACATTGAAGCACACACACTCATAAATACTGACATAGTAGTTTGCTTAAAGCAAAATAGGATTTCATTCTAGGGTTTCTTTAGTTGTAATTCTGTAATCGATAATTTATGTCCTTGAACATAAGCAATACGCATTGTTATTTTTAACAAAACAAAAAAAAAACACAACGCCTGATTTTGTTTCTTGAGACAATTTGTTGTTCACTTTGGTCACCGTCGTATATTTTTCTATGATGTATTTTTATCGTCTTGTCAAACATTACAATTGATGCTGTATGATTAGTCATTTCATGCCAATGAACGACTGTAAAACGAAAAGTTTTGTTAGTAGTTTATGAATACAAATCGGTTGGTAAAGATTGAAAAAAGAAAACAACACTTTCTTTTTCTTTGAATTGACTGGAAGTGTATGTTTTTAAACAATCAATCGAACACTTTAGGTGAATTTGTGCCCGTGCAAAAAAAAAACTGAAGGCTACTGCCAAAGCTTTCGAGAATGTATAATTTCTTTTTCTTTTCTTTTTTTCTTTTTTTGGTATTGAAACAAACGAGAGAAAAAGGCAAAGAATGAGCAATCGTGCGAACGCAGAAAAAAAGGAGAAAGTGGAGCAACATACGTACAGTGTATTATAAACTATACTTTCTTCAAAGAAAAAAAAAGAGAAAACAGAACTGTATAGAACTCATTGCTTTTACTTACTTTTTTTAATCTTTTCAATTTTTCATCTATTGCACTTCGAATTCCGATCACTTACCTTATCGCTAATTTTTTTAAAATCTCTTCATTCGTCTTCAGGTTGTTTATTCTCTTTACTGAATAGAGTTAAGTAAATGCTCAAGTGGGCTGTAACACCACGTCTAAACGGAGATTTTGTAGAACAAGCTGGTCTTCAAAATAGTGATAGTTATGAAATACTAACACTTCCAGCTATTGTTGAACAACATCAATTACCATGTCTTGTTCGACTTCTTAATGATGACATAAATCATTCCATTGATAATTATTGTCTTCTACTTTGTGAAACAAACGATCCATATTTAATTGTTTCCAATGAAACTGAACGATTTTCTATTCCAATTTCATTTGATGGTATGTTATCTTTCTTATCTCCATGATACTTCGGATTATTTTTAGGATAAAATTCGACATTGTTTAGAAAAATACAAACCTGAAAACTTTATAGTAAAACGACTTTGAAAATCAGTGAAGAAAACAAGTTTTTTGATTCTTGCCCAAACCTTTAAAAAGAAAAAGACTTCTACAGATGAGAAATAAAACTTTTGAAAACTTTTTGTTCGAATTATTTAAATACGTGATCCCCACTTTTTCTCTTAAACGATATGATAGATATGTCAAATGTAGCAAAAAGAACATTTACTATATGCAGAATTAAACTAAACTTTATTCTATCTTTAGGACTCTTTGCTTCAGTCGAACGTGGTGTTACTCGTTATAATATTATTCAATCTGTTCGTTCTCTACAATCACATTTAAAAACTCCATCACCATCACAATCATCATCCTCATCATCCTCATCATCATCTGAATTTTCACATTTCACAACATTACAGCCATATATGGCATATAGCAATGCAGGTCTTCATCCTATACATCCAGGTACACTTCTCGAACCATGCTCTAAGCCAATTATATCATCTCCTTCTCCATCGCCTTCACCAACATCATCAAATCGTTTACGTACATTATTTGCTAATTTTCCACGTTCACTTAATAAACATTTACTACCTAATTATCAACAACCACGTTCCATTAAAAATCAATCATTATCAAATGCTTATTTTGAGGTTAAATCTAATCAATACGATGAAAATTTCAATTTAAAATTAGACTCAAATGGTATTTTTGTTCCTGTATATACACAACTATCATCAATTAATCCTCATAATCAATCATCATTTCCATCTTATTTATCATCATTTCCATCGAATAGAATTCAAGGTTTATATACTACTGATTTATTAAGTCAATTAATTAACCAATATCCACTTATAGTCGAACTAGTTGTAAGTCGTACATTAGAGGAAAACAGTCCAACATCAGCTGGATACCCATTTCGACGTATAACATTACATCGTCTTGCTGAAAAACATACACGTATTATTGTCTTTGATATGAAAAACTATGCATTTGTTGAAATCGATACAACAGATTCAATTGATATGTATGCTATTGAACACGATAATACATTATTTCAACGTTATCAAGCACAATTACGTTGGTGTCATCAACATTTATCAGCATTTCGTTCACAAATAAAAACAATTGTTCATTCATCAAATGGTACAGCTATGTTTATTCAAGCAACACCATTTTATGGACAACAACTTCAACAATATCATCATCGACGAAATTCATCATCAATCATATCTTCACCACTTGCTAAACATATGCCACAAACAATTTTTACATCACAAGAATCCTTATCATCAAGTCGTTTACGTGCTCATACGCCAATATCATCGAAATTTTATACAACATCAAATCATTCGAAATATGCAGACAAACAACGACAGAAAGGAAAAACAATTGGTTCAAGTGGAGCAGTAAGAAAAGATGTACGATTTTATTTTGATGATCCAACTATTCAAAAACATATTCAAGATGAAAAGAAATTTTTTAATAAAAGACATTCAAGTTATGGATCAAATAGTACAGCAAGTGATAGTATTGATGGCGATGAAGAAAATGACAATTCATTTCAATGTACAGCATTATAAAATAAATTTATATGATTCATTTCTTTTTAATTATTCTTTTAAGAAAGAATGATGAAAATAATACCATGAATAATTGAGATTCTAAATTGAAAATCAATAAAGACAAAAGCGAAAAAGATTTCAAAAATCTTTTTTAATTGTAAAAATCCTATTATAACCCTCAAAACTATCGTGCTATTCTAGAAAAAACTTTCAGCTATTCATAGTTAAAACGTAGAACTCGAACAGTAGACTATCTGGTATATTTATTCACTTGAACATAATAGAGCACTCAGAATCTTCTATTATAAAAAAAAGAGAAGGATTTATTATAATTATATGTTAGTTCATGTCTTTTTGATGATTATTTATTTTTTCTTTATTTCTATTGATGAGGGACAAATGCTCATATTATATCGGATTTGATTCAATCGATCAATCATAACGTGAATATTTTTTCTACGTTGTAGAATATGAATGACTTATTTGCATTATTTCTCTTAAACGAACAAAGACAAGAAAATATATGAACACTTCTATCGGTAGTTAGGATATACACGTCTGTATACTGACCTTAATTGTATCAGTTTAGTAAATAAAATGGAACCAAAACCCTAGATTAGTTTGAAAAGGTGTGAATCAAACTGTGCTCATCTCTGATCTGAACTACATAGGTTAGTAATAATTCTTTATGAGAAGAACATGTTTGTGTAACAGAGATGACCATTTTCGCTGGAAATCTATTGCTGTCGCAATAGTTCTCAAGAAATTTTTTGAAAAACTCCGTCACTACGCTAAATTATTACAGTTCAATTGAATCTATCAGGTTCACGATGATTTTTAGTTTTTGAACTTGTAGACAATCAACTCGGTAGCATATGCATAAAAGTTTGCGTTCGCCTTAAAAAAAGAAGCTGCCGCAATAGCATTTTTATTTTTCTAAATTTTAAAATATCTGAGGATAGACAAAAATGAAGTTTTTGATAGAACTTTTAATTTTTTTTATAGTTTATTATGTTCTTTAGAAAAAAAATCTTTCAAAGATATTTGAAAACTTTTTTCTGAGTCCACTATTTTGATCTTCTGAACAAAAATCAGAAAAGCAATAAAGTCAATAGATTTGTACGTTAATTAATTGAAAGCATCAATAAACGAAGACTGTTATCAACGACACATCAAGTTGAGAAATCGAAATTTTGAGACTGTTTATTAATTATCTAAAATCGTTTCTGACTTATAGACGGTTCTTATGTTACCATCACGGTAACTGTAATCTTCGAAGACAGATTAATTGAGAAATATAAGTAATTTTTGATTCGTATGTAAGAATAGACAGAAACCAGTTATTGATCATTATTGATTTTATATGTGCTCAAGTCATGCCAAATATCTGTTTCGTATTCCATATGATAAAGATGTACTTTATGTTTCGTAATGTCAATTTCAATAGAGCACACTGCCCTCGCTTCTTAAAAAGTTAGCAAGTAGTTGTTTCTCGCGTCGGTTAATGTTACAAAAAAGATAATGATGATAGGAGTGTCAGTTAGTAGCTAATTTGTGACAGAAGAGTACAACTATTGATTGGGCAGCAGCAGGACCAATATCGAGATTTTAAATAATCATGAATGTGACAGAAGATTCAAACCAAATAATACTCACATTTGTGTATCAGTCGAGAAAAAAAAGAACATTTTTTGCAACAGCTCAGTAATTTGTTAGATTCGATCTTCATGACGATAGAATTCTAAATGGATGTGGACACTGTATGTGTGAAAGGCTCGAATGTCAGACAAAATACAATAGAATATAAATATTTCCGTAAAACCAGCTTGTTATTCTATTAGAGATCATAGAAAGATTTGCTCTTGTCTTTGTCATTCAATTATTCTTTGGTACAACAAAAGTATATCAAATGAATCTGAGGAATTAAATGATAGAAGTACATCGTCCAAGAGAAGCAGTGCTACAAGAACAAGCAACGTTGATGTACGAGTTTCTAATGGTTCTAAGAATATCAGAAAGTGTCATGTGACTCGACAAAAAACTGAAAGAACCTGAACTAAATATGAGGTAATCAATGTAAATGATAATGCAGATAATGCGTTTCGAGTTTATTGATTTCTCTTTATATTATATGCGTGTTAGGAAAGTTGACGAACTAATTGACATATTTTTATTCTCTTCCTTTATATGTAAAATAATTTATTCATAATTATTTACAAAGTAGTGATGTGATATTTCGTTGTTTGAAAAACAAGTTCATCAGACAAAAAACAAAATATATAAAATTCTTACAATATTTATATAAAATAATGATAAATAGGCATGTTGGTCATCTATTTTGTATTGTCTCTTGATATAACATTTAAGAAAGAAATGTGTTTTGAGCACCAAAAAAAAGGTGAAATGAGCACCAAATGAACAGAACAGTATAAAAGGTATCAATAAGGCTTTAAACGAACTAAGATTGCAGTTCATAGGTACTTAGCTATTAAACTGTGATAAGCTCTACTCATATTCATTAATTCAATGACAATTCTTAAATAGTCTAATTAAGGGGAGTAATGACTTGTATATAAAAGATGTGTAAAAAAAAGTAATCAATTTGGTGCTCAAAACACTCCCCACCTAACATTTAATAGTGATACGGAAATAAATCGTCCAGACCATTACTGTTACCGTCTTGTTCCGTATCACTGTTAAATGTTATATCAAAGAACAATACAAAATAGATGACTAACATGCCTATTTATCATTATTTTATATAAATATTGTAAGAATGTTATATATTTTGTTTTTTGTCTGATGAAGTTGTTTTTCAAACAACGAAACATCACATCACTACTTTGTAAATAATTATGAATAAATTATTTTACATATAAAGGAAGAGAATAAAAATATGTCAATTAGTTCTCTTTATATTGTCTGAACGCACTTTATATCTAAGCAAGAGAGTCAAGCTGTTGCACGTCGTGTCACAAGCTGTATCATTGTTTCTACACACCCACTGTAAAATGTCTCCAGTTTTTCTTTACATACATGTGTTCACAGTTTGATGTAAACCTCTTTTTTTTCCGTTCGATTATATTGACACAATCTGTTTTTTCTTTCCGTTCTTTCCAACGCGTATCAGTATGTGTATATCAGACTTCATTCTGTCAAATATTCTTATTCGTGTACACATGAGATGATTTGTTTTTTGAGTTTATTCTCACTACTGATGGTAATCCATGGCATGTCAGTTCCAACGATATTAGATACTGATATTGGTACAGCTTATGATGATCATCTAGCGTTAATATATATTCTGTCACTACCAAATCGATTTGATTTAAAACTAATTGTTTGTTCAACAACGAATACAACAGCGCGTGCACAAATTGTAGCGAAAACATTGAGATTTTTTAAACGTTTCGATATTCCAATAGGTCTTGGTCGAGCTTCTCAAGACACATATGGCATATTTCAATATCGATGGGCGCAAGATTATTCACTAGAACAGTTTCAGAATGATGGCGGAATCGTTTTTCGCGATGGTGAACAAGTATTGGCTGATGAAATGAGAAAAGCATCGATGATGAATCGTCCGTATCATTATATTCACATAGGTCCGGCAACATCGTTAGGCAATGTACTTGAAAAATACCCACTATTGTCGACGAATATTCGATTATTTGCTATGGCTGGTAGTTTATACTATGGATATGAAAATTCGACTACACCATCTAAAGAATATAATATTGAATATGATATTCGATCAGCGCAAACTATGTTCGCATCGAATTGGGCCTATTTCAGTTTAGCACCATTGGATTGCACGAACTTTATGCAATTTAATGGTCTTCTCTGGAAAAAAATTTTATCCTATCGAAATAGATCACGTACAGTCAATATGATCATTGAGAGTTACACAATATGGTACAATGATGGTGGAAATAGTATGAGTGCCATTCAATCCTTTAATCCTGAATTGGGTACACCTGAAATGCACGATGTTTTGGCTGTCTATTTAGCTGGTAGTTACACATCTGTCGCTCCGACTATATCATTTTTTCTACCAATATTCGTGACGAACGATGGTTTTACACGCGAAAATCAAACAATCGAGAAGACCATCAGTACTTGCTTGAAATACGAAACATCGGATCCATACGAAGCAACAGCTCAGATTGGTCGGGAAGTGTTCGAATCGATCATACAAAACGATGTAGATATGAAAGGCGAGGGTCATCATTTCTCTACATGTCGGTTGTCATGGATTATTTTATCAATTTCTATATCGTTGTATATCTGGTATTATCAATAAAAGTGTGAGTGTAATGAGAGTGACGATGTCAGAGTGAGATGAAAATGAAGCGAGCATATACCTTCATTCTACGCTCTTACTATACCTTCACAAACACAATTCTCAAGTAAGCTATATACGTCAGATGAATGTTAAGGATTGAGATAAACGCGACTCGAGTGCACAAAGTCGTATAATGTTTTCCATAGCTTTAAAAAAACGATCCATTTCGTTTGACGACAATTGTGTCTATTAATTCGATTGTTTATTTGAAAAGTTACTTCATCTGTTCATAGACTTTAGTCTAACACCATTAGACTTATTTGCAAGTAATCTTAAAGGTACTATTGAGGTTAGAGACATCAATCTGATAATCCTCTTTTTATACTTTTACTAATACTGTTATGTATGGTTTCAATTTGAAATTTTTATAGGACATTTCAAGTTTGTGTAAAATCTGAAAGCTGAAGTGATGCACATCATTGAAGTTTTCATAAATTTGAAAGAAAACTCTTAGAGACATTTCAACCACTCTAGACTGATTTTTGCTTTGAAAAGTTTACTATTTCGTAGTGCATCATTCACATGATATGTTTGACCAAACTTCTTAGCAAGTTTAAAAATGACTTGCCTATTAGGTCTTGTTGTATCTTGAAATTCATTTGAGAAAGTTGTATGCAGTATTTGAAATATTTTTGTCATATATATTCACAATTGTTTTAGAACGAAAGCTCTTCGTTCTTTAGTATAAAGTGTCTCCATCGTATCTCGAAATAAAAAGTAAAAAAAACAAAAGAAAGATGTCAAATACTATTGACACAATACATACATAGGTGTATCCAAAAGTAGTGGCAACGACATTTTATTACCACATATTAAGGTTGATAAAAATTTCTTTTTACATAGGATGATAGAGCGAAAAAAGCTCTTTCTTTCTATGCTATTCGCTTATACTTCAGGTGACATCATAATAAAAAAATCCTAATAAGACTAGTTTACCTAACATGTGTCACGGTTACAGAAGTTCATATTGTCTTCAATAGGGATTCTTTTCTTAATCTTTTCTTTGTTTTTCTTCTTTCCTTTATTCTTTCCTCTCACCTCTTTCGAGACTTTAACGTTCATTCAGATTAGCATGTCCAAAAATTGAAAATACATAAACAAGTTCAAGAAGTTTTTATTTCATTAAATGTTCAAATTGCCTTGATTATCTACACACAATTCCAATTCTTTGAATCCATTTATCGAACGTTTTTCTGTACTCTTCTTTATCCAAAGAATACATGAACTCCATTATAGCGTTGTGTAACGATTCGGAATCAGCTTGAACAGTTAGATTTCGTTTGATCAAGTCGATCAACCAAAAATCACACGGAGACAGATCTGGAGAATTTGATGGCTGTGGTACTACGGTAATTCCTTCTGAACGAAGATAATCGAATACGTCTTTATGAAAATGTGCTCGTCCGTTATCATGATGAAGCTTGATGGCATGAGCACCTGAGAGAGGTCTTTGTTTCTTGATTTCTTCGATAACAGGTTGCAAACAGTGTTTGATGTAATATTGATGATCGATAGTTTGTCCACTTTCGACACGATGGATTAGAGGAGGACCAGTTGATTTAAAGAAAATGCAGAATAGAGTTTTTGGAGCAAACTTATTTCGTCGCACTCTTGTGGGCGGAGGATCGTCTTTTGCCACCCAAGCAGCATTGGAAACTTTTCGACCAGTTTGCTGATGGAAAAACCACGATTCATCACCTGTTACCACGTCAGACAAACGCCATCTTCCTTCTGTAAATCTTGACAGATTTTATTTGCATATTCGAACTCGTTCACTCCGTTGATAATCCGTTAGCTGTTTGGGTATGTAACGAGCAGTCATTTTTCTAAGTTCCAGATGATCAGATAATATTCTATGAACGGTGCCATAACTTAGATCAGTATGCTCTTGTAATTCTGCTATTGTAACATGAGGATCATCACTAACAATACTACGAATTTCTTCAATATTTTCAAGAGTACTCTCAGTTACAGGTCTTCCGGATCGTTCTTCATCTTCAATTTCTTCTCAACCTTCACGAAACCCTTGAGCCCATTTTGCAATTGTTCGATAGAAGGAACTTCATCACTGAAAACAGTACGTAGCTAGTCGTGAATAGTTGCTGCTTCAACATTAAGCGCAGTACGCACTTTAATGTAGAAGCGAAAATTTTCTTTGTTCATTGAAAACAAAAATGAATAGTAACATTCGATTTAACTTAACTTCTTTCACTTTCTATAGAATAGAACAGCACATGACACGTGCACAAAAAGACGCATGTATCTTTGTATACATATGATAAATGATAAAATGTCACAAGAGTGATAGGAAAGAATAAAGGAAAGAAGAAAAACAAATAAAAGAATGCCTATTGAAGACAATATGAACTTCTGTAACCGTGACACATGTTAGGTAAACTAGTCTTATTAGGATTTTTTTATTATGATGTCACCTGAAGTATAAGCGAATAGCATAGAAAGAAAGAGCTTTTTTCGCTCTATCATCCTATGTAAAAAGAAATTTTTATCAACCTTAATATGTGGTAATAAAATGTCGTTGCCACTACTTTTGGATACCCCTATGTAGATCACTTCAGCATGAGACTTGTGCATGATTACTATTTTCAAACTAAGATAATGAAGATGATATAAAAAGGCAATGTTATGTTGTCGATTTCGTCTTCTTCATTTTATCATTTTGACTGTCAAAAACCTGTTGGCATTAAAATTAAACAATTTAATGCACCCCAAGGTCTTCTCGAATAGTTTTAGTCATTCCTGTTTCGATTGTCTTATACATTCTAAAAACAGTTAGGATACTGAATGATTTTATCATGAATATTCTCATTCATATATTCAAACATTTAGTAGACTCTAATACAAAAAGGGTTTTTTAACCTTTTGAATTCTTAATTATTTCTGCTAGATTAAATTGAAGTAGACTGTTAGATGAAGTCATTTTAGAGAGTATGGGTATGAGTTTTCGCCTAACTGACAATGATGTTTCACATTGACATTTATAGTCTTAGTTTTCTGACTTCTGATTTCTGTTGATATCAAAATGTATTTTTTCTGATTTACTGTTGGTATCGTTTTTGTTCTCTTGTTTTTTTAACGGAATGAGAAAATATAAGTCACGTATTCTGTATAATAATAATGAGTGATCGATATAAAACGGACTTTCTATCATATTGATTGTAGAATGAAATGACACACTATCATCGAAAAACAGCAAGGATATTAGAAAAAAAAACTTTTCTAATACACCATCACATTACATGTGATTGAGATCGTCAACACATTCAAGTCTTGCTTCAACATATGTCCATATCACATGACTTTCTTGTCCAAAATACGCATATCCTTCATGCACATAAAAACAAAAAAGAAATTTTTATTCGAGCAGTTAATTGTATTATCAAGATTGTTTTTTTTTTTATATAGAAATTTTTATGAACAAAAGGTGTTATTATAGGTAAGTATAGTTAGTATAACACCACTAATCAATCTCAGTATATGAATACGAATAAAACCATTAAGAATGAGTCTTAAGTTTATATTTTCCCTTATGTTAGATACCATGTTTTTGTTTCTTTTTATTATAAAATATTCTTAGCAGACTACAGATATTCATAGATTTGGAGAACGTCGGCGGAAATTTCATCTCAAATAAAACAGTGATCTTTTAGAGTACAATTTGTGATAGAATATCTTTAAATTAGAAGACTACGCTCTAATGAATAATCTCTTCCAAAAGCTTTGTACGATCAAATAGAATAGAAAACAAAAAAGTTCTAATATGTAGGTATTCTGCAATAATTATTTTTTTTTTGTTCGTATTGTACTTTGCAAAAGGGTCCATTATACCTCTTTCTTTTTATATATAATCAAAAAAATAATTACATACTCGTATTATTAAATCTTCTTTGCAATAATCATTATGAGAAATACGCGTAGAGACAAAATAAAAAGAAGTTACCTTTAACTCAATCTTAAATCATCATAGATCTCTGTATGATATATCACGCTAGTGAGACAATTGTTATTTTTTATATTATTTCCTAAAAAATTTCATTTTGCACCTATAATACAGACAATGAATTCCACTACAATTACTTTAACAGTTTATCTTGCTAACATTCAAATTCAAATTATTCGTTATTTACTCACTATAACATTGATTATTGGAAATTTAAGCAATCTTACTAATATTTTAATTTTTTCTCAGCACTCTCTCAGATCTCATATCTGTTCATGGTACTTTATTGGTTCATCGATTGGTCATCTACTCTATCTCAATATGGGATGTTTAACCCGAGTTATTTCGGCATGGACACAGTATGATCTGAGTTTCATCTCACTTGCATTTTGTAAAACTCGAATTTTTTTTGTATTGAGTGGTCTTACTATTTCTCGTTATTTATTCTGTTTAATATCTATTGATCGTTGGATGATTACTTCGAGAAATACTAGCATCCGTCATCTAAGTTCACTTAAAGTAGTTCGACGATTAATTATGGCTGGCACTTTTTCTTTAATTATTATTAATATATTTATATCTATTGGATATGTCATTCAGAAGAATATAAGCTGTGGTCCATCAACAGAGCCAGTATATTTTTTATTTTACACAATTTACAATATCACTTTGTCTCTTGCCCCTCTATTAACATTAATTATATTTAGTGTTCTTGTTCTTTTCAACATTCGACATACTGGTCATCATCAAATAGCTCCAACAACACTAATAGGTTTAAACCATGAAATACGATATCGAAGACGACGACTTCGTAAGAAAGATATTCAATACATCAAGCTATCTCTTATACAAGTAGCTGCTTATATTGTTTTCAATACACTTCATGGTTACAATACAATTCATGAAGTTATTACACAGAATCAAATTAAAACTCCTGAGCAACGAGCTATTGAAGGATTTTTGAGTGGAACGGGTTTGAATCTTCATTATGTCTATACCGGAGTAAATTTTCCTGTCTTTTTTTAATAACTTTTAAACACGAGATCGAATAATATATATTTGATTTTCTTTTCAATTTAGATTACTTTCTTTCTTTATACATTGGCATCTGAAACATTTCGACAAGCTTGTATTTTGTTTTGGAAACGTTGGTTAGAACATCTGTTACATTTAATGTTTCTTCGATCTAATCATCAAACGACTGTTCAAATTGCTTAATTTTTTTGTAAAATATCACAATAATCAACAAATTTTGTCCGTAATATGATTCTTGATACCTTTTTTTCCCTCGAATTCGAAGACGATTTGAACACGTAGATGAATGTTGTACATTTTTTTGTCAGTGTTGTTATTCGATGTGTCTCATTACAACTGTGTATGTATTATTAATGCTGTAAAGAGTGATATGATTAGTGCATTTTAAATATTTATAAAATAAAAAATTCTTGTGAATAAGTATTGTGATGTAAGAGGATATAATATGAGAATATCCCAGTTCTTTGAGCATGATGCCAATGATAACGTTTTTTTTTCTTATTTAGAATATAGTTTCTGTAGGTTTTTTAAATCAATCATGATCAATTTTGCTTGCTCTATACAAAGCTGTAGTCAAAATTCATGAAGTATAAAGCAAAAGTTTTGAAATTATTAGAAAATTCATTTTTTTAGTTTTCTTTAACAAAATTCAACTGATTTTGAGATCTATATGTTTTACTAAACAAAATTTCAGAATAATTTAGATGAAAACATTCAAAATTAATCACTACTAGCATGAAGAACCGCAAGAAGTTCAATAATTCTCAATACCGAACATGTACTTTTGTAAGTGGAAATAAACTGATTCCTTGAACTTCTAATCGAAGTTTAGAATATTTCTACTACTGAGAATTATCAAACTCTTATCAGTTCTTTAAGCTAGTTCTAATCATTCTTAATAAGAAAAAAAAAGTATCATCTTTGACATCAGGTTCTAGTAATTGGTGTATCCCTAATACCATAAGTATTTTATTATCAATGATAGCAGGTGATCGAAAAATTTTTAGACAAAGTAATTGTGTCACTTTTGATCCGTTAGAAGAGTATTTCGTTCGAGTCAAAAGCTATGAGTTAGGATAATCTTTTCGTATATGGACTTGCAAATTTGGTTCGAGATTAGTAAAATAATCATTGAAAACTATAAAGACATTAGTTTGAATAGAAATCTTTTTTATTTTCACTATTGTGATTCTAAACATAAAAGTTGAGCTTTTCATTTATATATCAGCTTGTAGATTAGAAGCTATTTTTCTTTTTTGTCTTTCGATAAGGGACATCAATTTTCACTTTTCCTAAATACCGATTGTTAAAAAAATGCTTGTAGTCTAACTTACCTAAAAGTTACAGCTTAGTTCAATATCAAATTTCGTAGAGAAGTGTCCAATTTACACAATGGTCGATTCGAATAAGTTTTAGCAAATCTGAAAAGGTACTTATAGGATAAACAAAGGCTTGTTGACTCATCTCAAAATATAATTTCTCAAATTTTTTGAAAAGTTTGTCACAATTCTTCAACAAAAATAAAGACAATATTACTATGGCCATATTCAAACTACGGTTATAACCTATAGTTTTTGGCTCATCTGACATGCTTTCTTATCAAGTCAAAATTGAACAAACATTTTGTCTAAAAACTTTCGGACTATTGGTTAGAATAAGGTTTTGTTCTTAGCGAAACAAAAAATGATTTTCATAGAGTAAATGAATATCAATAAGAGTTTACATTTTCTTACTTTCTACAATAATATAAAATAAGTTTTCTCAATCATTCTATTGTTTATCAACTATTATGTATGCCCATCAATAGAAACAATAAATATCAATTTCAACAAGGCATTAACATGTCTCTTGGACTGATTTTTTTTGAAGTAAAAAAAAAGTACAAAATAAAATTAATGTTTTGTATTTGATTTGTTCATCGTGTCATAAATAAAATTTATTCATTTCACTTGATACATTGTTCATTTAGTTGATCAATAAAAAATAATTTTAATGCATTTCAAAACACAAATATTCATTTCACATGTTTCTATTACATAAAAAAAAAACTTGTTTCATTTTATTTATTCTTTTCACTGATTATGTTCACATATGTTTACTCTCTAAATAATCGCATTTTCAGTTAAGTGTGTCTATGTTCATTTGTCAACGAACACCGGTAGTCACACGTCTATGTCAATGTACATTTATTCCTCATGATGGATAGACAGACGACCTGACTGTCATCATCGTTGTGGATCAATAGTGTCATAAGACGATCAACACGATTGAGCAAAAGACATTGAAACAAAAAAATATCTCTTTTTTTTTTTCGTCTAATGTATTTTCACACATTAAACAGAGAAAGATAGTAGACGTGTTGTTGATTCAGTAAAATGACACAAAAAATATTCCCAGTTCTCTGATCAAACGTGTATGTTCATGTTTGATCTAAGCGGTACCATCATTTTTTTCTATTTCCTTCTCAAAATAGAATATCAATGTAAAAATCTTAATATATTAAAAAAAAACTCTTTATGACTTATTTGGTGAATACATTGATACCAACAATGAACTCAAGTGTGACATTGTTTATTAAACTTGATTAAATCAACTAAATTTTTGTCTCTTGTACATTCTCACATCGTCATATCATAAACAAGATTAGCTCTTACTTTTTCGATTGATTTATTTTCTGATGAATTTCATAGAAGGGCGTTTTAAATAAGCAGATGATAGTATATTCCATATCATTGCATTCGTATATACTAAAGTTTAAAACGAAATTATAAAAAAAAAAGAGGAGGAGTTTTGTGCTGGCTTGTTTTCTTTCTCTTTCAGTTGATTGCGCTAAACAAATCATGGAATATGATAGACAGTATGACTAGAGCAAAATCATCTTTTATTAATCATTAGATGATGATAACAAAATCCGATTTATTCCACCGTTATTTGACTTGAGGCTATTTTGTCCATTTTCGACGATCATTTGTAATAACAACAAAATATATGTATGTAGGTCCTCATCAACCAAGAATCAAGTAAAGATGATGACGCCAATAATAGTCATTGATCGACATAGCATAATCCTTTATAGACTATATTAAAACAACTATAGTGAATGGTTGATGATGATGATTCAACTATAAATGAGAACAAACATAAAATGACTTATCACGAACAGTTTTTTTAACTTGATGCGACAAGCACAACATAGTAAAATTCTCTCATATTTGATTTCCGTTGTTAGATGTCGGCATCTGCTTATTATTGTTTTGTGAGTTCATCAAACGAATCTATGCACGTGTCTTTCTCTTCTACGTGTTAATCAAATCCTCTATTTAAGCTCATCATTTGATATATAACGAAGGCAAAAAACAAAAAAAAAGTTGAATTGAACTGCATGTTTAAATATTTTATGAGAATGACAAACGTCTGTTGTGTTCAGTTGACCTTGCATCAATCTATTGAATGATTAGTGTGTATTGTTTATCAACGTACAATATTGCTGTAGTCGTCTGTCAATCAGCCGTGATGCAAGAGCAATTTACTATATATTTGCCGCTCGCATACGCACCTTTATTTTTTATACGAAAGTCTAACACGTGCCATAATCATTGCTTTCTCCTTGTTCATTGAAGCAAATTTTTAATAGGGCATTATTTACACTTGAACGTTAAGGTATTTCCTCCATCTTCTTTTCTTTGTGTGAAACAACAAAAGAGAATACCTATTATTTCTTTTCTACAGATCAAACGTATTTTTTGTCAAGAAGAAAATCATCGTCATCATCATTATATAGGACAAATAGCTAGCCTAATTAGCTTTGCCATCTACTCACGTGCTCAAAAATAAATCACCTGCATCATTGCGTGTGAACGAAACTAATATTTGATGGGCAGGGCAGCTCTCATATTGACATGATATCAATAATAATGATCGATAGCAATGTTGATTATGCAATTGAAAAAGAAACGAAAGACGATTAACTCATATGTACATATGTGTATGTATGTATACTTATTACAATTGGATGATAAATAAATATACATGTTCATAGATGGGAAAGAGAAAGTTAATTAAATCAGTGCCAACGATTTTAAAGAATAATTCAAAAATACGTCATAGTAAATTTAAATATGCTTTTTTTTATCTTTGCACTACTGCTAAGCTTAAATTTAAATAATAAAATTTATATAGTATGAGTTATTTCATTTGTAAAAATTTCTTGAATTCGATTTTTTTATATGACGTCAGTCAGGCCAAAAAAAAGAGAACTAGAAGATGTTATTGACATTCAACATGCGAATAGAAAAAGCTTCTTGACTAGCACCGGATATGTCTCTCATTATGTATGCAATTTGAAGACGTCACTCCTCCACCTACGTTGTCATTCTTGTTAATTTACATTTGCTTTCTACATCTTCATTTTAATATTGACAAAAAATTTTTCTTTTTCCTACAAGTCTCTTCTCATTTCACCAATCTGTTATTTTTTATATTGAATTGTTACGTTCAATTTTACACACCTGATAGCATAAAATATAGTGCTTTGTGCGTCACATCGATCTCTAATGGACTGAACAGCATAAATGTAACTCGCTGTATGCCGGAAGTCAATTTTCTCTGCGTACACATGCACACAGACTTTTGTCTATGTTTTCAAACACACAGATGCCAGAGGATAGATAGTAGTTAGAGAAAGGCAAAAAAAAAATCTAAAAAGCAGTGCAGCCAGTCACTCTACAGGAAATAACTACTGATGCTTGAACTTTATGTAGTAAAGAAGAGACAACATGAGCATAGAATAAAAAATAGCAAACGAAGAAAAAGAGAGACGGCTACTTCCGTTGTTGTTCAAAGAAATGAACAAAAGACGATAGTCTGTACGAGATCAAATTTAATTTTGAATTAATGAAGAACTTTTAGAATATATTTAGGCAAAAAAAAATATTCTCACGTAGAACCTTGTTATTTGTCATCTTTAAGCAAATATTACATCCACCCAATCATTCCTTTTTTTTCCTCTTTTTCTTACATTAGTTTGATGTTCAACGAGAAAAAGAATGAGCACACGAACACGTAGATAGGCTCATCTTATAAGAAGAAAAGTCACTGTGATTGGTGGAAAATTTTCATTGGACGCGCGAGCACACAGAAAGGCACAAATGCATACATTGATGAAATGATTTTTTTTTATGAGAAAAAAAAAAGAGAAAAAGAGAGACGGAAAAGCCTCAGTTCCTGCTTCCTTCTGCTCCTCATTCGTCATTGCTACTTGAACGTTGTCGTCAACTTCCACGAAGAAACTAACGGCAGCGACAACGGAGATTCAATCTCTCTTAATCGTCCATTGCATTTCCGTAAAAAGTTCTTTTCTCTGTCGGTCGTCGACACAATTTCAAGGAAGTCCGGGACTTAAAGGCGTCCTTTTTCCTCGTCCGTCCCACAACTGCATATACACATATACATAACAAAATCGACACATCATGCTTACTGGTAAGCGAATCGTTCTATGCAAGGAAGCCGAGATTTCCGTCCGCCTTCAGCTCGGTCCATGCGTTTATATATACGCACGAGCAGGAATCGAAGTTTTTCCGTTTTGAAAAAAAGAAGAAAAAGAAGAAGAAAAATATATGAGAACATTGATTCGTCTCATTCTAGTTATAACAAACTAATATCGTTTATAGATATTTTCGAGTCGAGTTGAACAAGAACAAAAAAAAAAAAAAAAAGAGATGATGATACAAGAAGTCGAGTACATCCGTTGAAAAAAAAAGAAAGAAAAAAAGAGAAATATTTATTTTAATAGAACATTTTCAATAACTTTATATTGTAGAACCATCAAAACACGCATGGACATCTTTCGGTATTGGCGGTACAATATCGAACATTTCCGATAGTTGTAAGTTTTTTATTTTCTTTTTACTTTGTTAGAAATATAAAGAAAGAATAACAATCGAGAAAAAACAGAAGTATTTATCTTTACTTTTTAGCTTATTTCAAGTATCGATAAAAGATTAGAGCGACACTTGAGAGATTTACGCAAATAATTAAGTATGACAAACTTTTATTTTTTGACTACCGTATGCTTTTTTTTTTACTAAAAAAACAGACTAATGATGAATTTAAAAGAACAAATGTTTTTTTGCAATTAGATTTCCATTAAGCTATTGTTCATTTATTTAGAAGAATAAAGAGGAAATGTCGTTCATCGTTCTCTGTTTTTTTTTGACTTTCAATTATCAATCATTTGTTCTTTGATTAGTTACTTTAACGAAATAATCAAATCGATTATTAATCAAAGAATTGATTGTTCTACTAGTTCATCATGTTTATTTAATTGTAGTTGGCTATCACACAACGGCAACTCCCTCATCTACATCATCATCAGCTTCATCAACAAATGCTGGTGGTGGTAATGGTTCGAGACTTAAACATGAGTATGAAAATGGATCAGGACGTGGAAATACCGCGAATGATACTAGTTCAAATACAGGTCAACAACAGCAGTCATCTTCTTGGTCATCTTTGGTTAAATCTGAATCACCACATGGGTTGAGAGGTAGAAAAAAAGGGAAAAAAAAGAATCTTTAACTGCAATTGTTTTTTAGATCCTTATTCAACATTTGCGAGTCAATCATTTTTTCCTCATAATGCACATCGATTCGGTAATGGAGCAGCTGGTATATATTTTCATAGAAAAAAAACGATTTTTAAATTTAATTTAATATGTTTTTTATCTTGCTAGGTACAGGTCAAATACAATTATGGCAATTTTTACTTGAACTTTTAGCTGATGCAAGTGCAAATTCAAATGTTATTGCATGGGAAGGTTCTAATGGTGAATTTAAATTGATTGATCCAGATGAAGTTGCACGTCGTTGGGGTGAACGTAAATCTAAACCAAATATGAATTATGATAAATTATCTCGTGCATTACGTTATTATTATGATAAAAATATAATGACAAAAGTTCATGGTAAACGTTATGCATATAAATTTGATTTTAATGGTTTACATCAATTAAATCAACCACAATTATCCGAATCACCATATACTAAATATCAACAAGAAATGATGCGTTCATCACATGCACATGCTGCTTATTTTAAATGGAGTGCCTTAAGTTCAGCAGCAGCAACAACATCAGCTGTTCATATGCCACATCATCATCATCCAACAACAGCGGCTGCTGCTGCATCAACAGCTTATACAAATTATTGGAATCATCCAAGTACATATGACTATACAGCTAATTTTCCTACGCCTAATCCATATCTTTCATCATCTTATTGGGTTAGTCCAACAGCAAGTACAACATCAACTGGAACAGGGGGACTATCAGCTACAAGCACAGCATCTACCGCTATCTCACCATCATTACCTTATTAATATAAACGAAAACAAATCAAAACAAAACATCTTATTGTTCTGTTGTATACTATTTCTTTTCTCTTACTTTTTTTTTTGAGTGAATTAAAAAATCACACACTACTATTAGCACATTGTCTTGATGATAACATAAGGCACCTGGAAAAAAAACATCTGCATGAATATGTGACAATAACTGTCTATGTAGTAAAATTCACTTAGCATAAATAATGACCTATTAAATATTTTTTTCTTCTTGCTATTCTTTAAATGAATTTATTATAGATTTGACCTTTTGCTTCGATTTCGTTTTGTTTTTGCACATTTCAATATGGGATATAGAAAAAAATGTTTTTCATTTCCTTTTTATTTTATATAATGCTTATATTATTAAAAGATCAATAATAAATTATAAGTCAAGTGCATTTCTATTCTATCGAAATCTAACAGTGTTAATGACACGATCAAATTATGCGGTATGATTGAAGATAGAATATAGAAACGGAAATGTATGAAGAATGAAAACAAATAAAAGACGTTTCATATCTGACTTGAATCATCAAATAAAACAAGACGAAACAAAAAGAAGAAGAAAAATGATTAATTTAATATACATATTCTTTGTTTGCTTTGAAACAGCTGGTGCAATATGTTACGCATAAAATATAAACAGTAGTAAAGAGACTAACTTTAATATTTTATATATGAAGTAATTTTTTTCATTTTCTAAAACGCATATCAATAGAATCATGATTTATGTTAGACATTTTTTGAGTAGAATTTTTCTATTATTTCTATTATTAATTGTCATCATTGGCTCAACAGACGAACAATTCTATGATAAAAATTCCGGTAAGCAAATTAAGAAAAAGAATTACAATATTTGAAGAATCGTCGTTATAAATTTAGTAATCTTTTAATAGATAAAGGCATACTCTTAATTCGTTCCTGTTTGGTAATTAGGATAGACTGTCTTATTTTAATTATTTCCGCATTGGAGCCTAGTTAGTTTTTCAATCAAGGTCAATAAGGATAACAATTTCAGTTGAAAGTATATATATACATGTATATAATACTCGTATGTCGTGACATGACTATTTACAATTTAAATTCACAAGTTATTTTAGAACGCAAAACATGCATCTAATCATTAATGAAAATCTGGTTGACTTATTTCAAACATACGAGAGATGAGAGCTTGAGAAATTATAACTGGCCATGAAATCCGGTTGTATGGTAAAAACTTCTTTCGTGAATCTATCACGTTGTAGATTATTCTTTTCTTTTCTTTTCTTTATTACTTAAAAATGTCATTTACTCTTTGAACATAGAGGAAAAACAATAAACTATAACGTTGCAAAGTATAACAATGGCGCAGATCAGAAAAAAATTCGAAACTTGTGTAAAAAAAAAACATGAGTTTGTAGAAACATGCTGTTGTTTATGATCATCGATATGCAATCTTCAAAAGAAAAGATTTTGATCTGCTTTACCGAAAACAAAAGAGTTTAATAGTGAAACAGAAATATTTCACAAAAAACATGTTGCATTACGACCGTCTTGACTGTTGAAAATGTTTAATAGGGATGCAATCTTAGTCTTCGAAGGTAAAGAAAAGCTTTGACAGATTCTAATTAATCTAACTTAGATGTTACGTACAGAACTTCTTCACTCGTAATGAATGATTCTTACTTCAATGCATTAACAATGTATGAGCTAATGTTTAATTGTAAAAAATTCAATGCTTCCATAAAAACGTTTTTCAAGTCTGCTGGATTGAGAAAATATTGACACTGGCACTAAAAATATGGTGCGTTGTTCCATACTATTGACCTGATAGAAGATAGACAAGTGTTTGAGTATACACTAGTCTACGAAATTGGAATGCAGAATAGACTTTGGCCTATTCAAGCTTTTTAGCTCCACTAACTACGCTTATGAAACATGAGTTCGTAGTAGATAAAATATGTACTGACATTGTAATGGACACGTCATCGATCAGAAGATGATGAAAACTAAACAGTATTAGAAAATTTTAACATTATACAGAATCCATCTAAGTCCACATCTGTCCAATATGAGGTAGGTTCGACGCTACACTAGCATAATGGCTTTACCGTTTAGGACTACTATAGTGTAATATTTAATAAAGAAATGAATAACTGTACTCAAAGCTTGTCAATTGTGGAGAAAATATCGAGTGGACCAAAACTGTTTTTAACAGTATGATTATTTATTTAGAAGATATTCCTGATGTTAACAAATTTGTTGTGAATGGATCATTATCACTAAGTTCATCGATTCCTATGGAAAATTCAACGAATACATTTTTATCTTCATCTCGAATACTTAATATTCTATCGACTAGTTATATATTGACGAGCAAAATAATTGAAAATGAATCTACATCACCTTCATTATCACAAACATCTAGTACATCTCAAACAATACCAACAATAATATCAGTTAATTCACTTGTTGATCAAATGAATTCTTATCTTAATATCGATATACTTGCTCGTATAAAACATTGTGATCCAAATATGCAATTAAACGACGTATGTGAAACATATTCCATGGATAATAAAACAAATTCATTAGTACGTCAATCAAATATTGAATTTGATACATTACAATATCTTTCTGATGTTCTTGTTGATCAAATAATTGTACAAAAGCTAAATGAATTTTGTTTACCAATTAAATGGTGTTTAAACAATTTGTCCGAAAGTGATATTTATGTTACTTATGGTGTTATACAAGAACGTGGACGTTCATTTTGTTACTTAGAACAATGTTATTCACGGCTATTAGTATTTATTAATACATGTCCAATACTTTCGAACACGGTAAAAGTATAAATCAAAAATTTGTTTTATAAAATTTCTTTTTCAAATATAGAATGTGAGCGTACCAACATTAAAATTATTACCAATGTTATGTACTCTTTATAATGAACAACCACGTTGGAATTCAATTCAGTGCATGAAAGAAGTCGTTTATCTTCTTCATATACTTTATGCTTTTTGGCCTCAAATTGAGGTAATCGTTTTTGTTATGCTTATTCATTGGATGTTTTGAAAAAAAAAAGAATGAAATTTAGAAATGTTATGGTGATGTTTCTACTGGTTTTAATGTTTGTACATCTGAATGTCAATCATTTAATGATATTTTGAATAAAGTTAAAATTCAATGTGATGATAATGGAACTTTTTTATCTCAGTAAGCTAAAGAAATATGATTTTACGTAGATGTCAATAATTCTTTATTTTTTGTTTTGATGACTAGAGTACCTGCTTTAGATTGGTATCAATCAATTAATTTAAAAGACATGTGTTATCAAAAAAATATTTCAACAAAATATCGATTTATATATTCAGTAATATTTAATAATTTAACTAAATAATTTTATTTATTTATATATTTTAGGTAGAGAAATTCTTTTCTTCGAATTTATTTTGGAACCAATTTCATATTAAATCTATCTATACTATTTTACTTATCACAGCTATTGTTTTGAGTGTAATCAGTTTTTCATTATGTTTTTATTTTAAAACAAAACGTCGGTTTAATTCAAATAATCGACGATTTGATAATAATTATGAATATAGTCGATTACATGATTCAACATTTGAATTTGGAAATAATACTGAAAGTAAGTGTAGACATAAATATGAATTCATTGATTTATTTATCTGTATACTTAGTTTCAAATATGAGTTCAACAACAAATCGGATAATGGATGATGAATCACAATTAGATTCAAATGATCGTTTTCGTTCCCTTGAATACCAACGATTATTACATGCAGAATCATAAGCACAAAAAACAGATTTTTCTTTTTTTTTGCTTCATTTTTTTTTCTATTAATAAATAACATGATTCTTCCTTGTGTATTTCGAGAGTTTTAATAATGTATTAAGACTTATATTTGACTAATGCAATAGAAAATACAACATAAATATTTGAATAATGTTCAGTTTTGTAATTGTACTTGTTTAAGAAAATTTTTAAAGAATCTATGATGAGTATGTGACGGTCAGAATACTCTTCGTCGAAGTTCGGTAATCTTGGTTTCAGTGATTTTGTGAGATGACGTCTAGGCACTGTTCGAAACATTCTAATATTATGTGTATTGATACTTACGTTAGTAATTATAATAATGTACCAAGTTAATAGCTAACTTCAATTAGTAACTATGCTGGTAAAAAAAAGACTAGATCGTAATCCATGCTACATCTGATTTGTGCGCACAAAGAAAATTAATTTTCACTAAGATAAATTTTTTTAAAATTTTCAGTTGATCTTAAGTTGACAACATAGTTAGTTTTCTGTAAAATTAGAAAATTTGATAGTTAGGTTTTAAAGATTTAATTTATGCAGGCGTATGTAGATAATAAATCGTTTTAAAAAATGTTAATCAACAGTTATTTTATTTTAAGAGAAGTTATTGCAATTTGTTGATGACATGAGTTTTGGTTCAATTCAGACTTTTAAGCTTCAAAGATGAAATGCAATATATAGAGGATACAAACTTTTAACCAAAGAAGTTTTTGATTGAGATAGATTTGATATGATATATATGTAAACAGTTTTACATGGTATAAATAATCGTATGATGCTTTTTCTATATCTAGTAGTTATGAAGTGTTATTGAAGATAAAACTATATGGACATAATAACTCGTCTTAAAATAAATTAATATTATTGACAGGATGTAGGATAAGCTTTGTAAAGCAGAATTGAATTGAGCAAGGCTTATCGGTTTTCACCTCAGCTACAAAGGAAGTCAATCAAAACCAAACCGAGATTTCAAATAGATTTTATCGGAATTTATAATAGTAAGTCAATATGTATTGAAGCTGTAACGTGGATGGATTGGGAAATGTGGATACGTGAAGAGAAGACGCTTACCAAAACGCATATTTCGAAGTGGTATTTTTTTGAACATTGTTTTCTTTATTTTTTTTATATGTTTCATGAATGCTCTTGCACTTCGACTAGTTTGTGTCAAATCGATGTTTGATTTTATGTTACAATGACAATTAGATGGTGTGTTCAAATTGAAAAAAGGCTCATGACGTCCATAGTAACATTAATGTTTAGTGAACTCTATGAACTACAGTTAATTAAAAGTAAATTTGAAGATATAAGTTTTATTAGAATTGATATTATTAAAATTTTCATGATTTAAACAACGAAAGTTTTGCAATTTAAGACTTTTTCCTATTTGAACAATTTTAATTGAAACAGCAATATATATTGAATTCAACAAGTTTCAAATTTGGATTTTATGTTCATAAATGAGAAGACACGCGTAATTCATAATGTATTCATCATAGTTGCATAGAGGGTAAATATATGAATGTATATGATAGGTATTCGAAGAAAGTAAAAGTAAAAACTAATTATCGAAACTCACAAACATGAACAATCGAAAGGAATTCGGCGATTTTCATGTTGTTTACTATTCTGTTTGGTAATGAGGTACACAATTTATGATACATTCACTCTGTCTATTCATCATTATTATCAAACCGATTGGAATAGAGAATAAAAATGTTTAATTGAAAATGTAACTGATCACAAGATATAACATATGATTCGAAGAAATCAAAAGCATCATTCACTCTTAACATCAACAATTTACTTCATCTAAAAAAAGAAAACAATTATCAAAAAGATCGATCAATTAAAAACTTCCTACGGTATTTTCAATCGATGTATTTATAATTATTTTGGAAAAGATTGATGTTTTATTCAATCTTCATTGAAACGTAATGCTTGATTTATATGTGTAACATGTTTTGATTATTAATGACTTGAACTTGATAGATGTAATAATGCTGAAAGTACGTTTCATAAGTTCATGCCAACACAAAAAGTAACTCACAATAAAACATAAGTGAACATTTGCAAAGTTTTAACTTATATAGCGTATCTCTTCCCTATTACGAATACAAATCAGAAAATTATTCAATTTGAAAATGAAGTAACAAAGTGATTCGATTTTCCTATGATAATTACTTCAAACAACAGCAAGGTAGGCTGATTAATCACTTTAAAATAAATTTAATCATATGTAAAGATCGCTCTTCCCTAGTAAGTTGAGAAAATGTCATTTTATCATTTAAACAGTATCACAAATATCTGACTATCTTTCCATGCTGCTGTTAGGATCAGTTTCTTGCTATATTTCGCTTGGAAAAGTGCTTCAATGTAATAAACAGTTTTTTAGATAATAAAATTTCTTAGATGAGAAAATACTGTTTTCTGGTGTTACTGGATTTATATCAGTGCATTACATTCAAAAAAATAACGATGTATTAACTCGATTATTAGTATGAATTTAATTTACTATAGTGCAACAACGTTGTCATATAATCAGACCTTGCTAAATATAAGAAAAGTACGACAATGAGGGTGAAAAACAGAGAATCAAAATATTTAGTCGGTTCTGAAAAATATAGTTTTTAAGTTACTCTACAATGAAAGAGATCTTGAATAACTTATACATATGATCAAAAAAATGTAGATGTATAGAAGTTAAATAAAATCTGTTCTCCATTATGCTTATCAAGAAAAACGATAAAAATCTTCTTGCAAAAGTATTCATATGATAGATGTGAACTCCTAAATTCTAGTTTCAAAAATAATGAGTGCGAAAATAATACAAAAAAAAAACATCTAGTTGTTTATGTTTTTACATTCCTTAGTAACGTTTCTATTGTCATTCTAATCTTAACATTCATACATATTTCGATGAGACAAACATAGCAATCAAGACATTTGTGTTTTGATTCACTTGACATATCATGTGCCAGGAAAAAGTCTAATTGAATAGCATCATTACAACTAATAAAGAGAACACTCAATGAATGATATATATCATCAATGTGGATAACATGTAATCATCGTAATTGTATATGATCTTCATTGTAGTTATATGAAAATGGATATTAAATCATATAGGAACAGTTGATCTGAGATACACATTCATCAGGAAAACATCTTGGCAATATTCGTTGAATGTTTTTTCATTCATTGTACTACTGTTGAAGAAATGTTGTACGAAGCGAACATTTCTCCTTGTTATATGAATTCTTTTTATCGATGCATAGTTTTTTTTTGTAAATATCTAAAGTCGAGTGAAAATAAATGAAAGTTGTGGTTTTATTTTTATTTAAGATACACTAACATAAGAGGTAACAGTTGAAACTGTCAATAGAGATTTAGACAAACGTGAACACATATCGAAATCGAGATCAACAACCAGTGGGTTTAAATATCGATTGTTTTCATTTTTGATTGGAAAAAATGGTGAATAGAGAATAGAACATAAGGAAATAATGGTCCTTATAAGATGATTTATACTCAATGACAATTTTCATGCATATATGAATAGAGAGTTGTTGAGTTCACAGTAAAAATGAAATGAAATTCAATAGCTTAAATATGAAAAAGAATAATTGATAAGAATATATCCATTTTAAACATCAAATACTCAATGGCTATTAAAAACAAGTAAATGAATTACAAGACTGTCATTTGAATAAATGAAGAATCACATACTGGATACTTTGGACTGTAATCAATAGATCAGCAGCTAAATTATTAGCCAAGCAACGTGTATACAAAAGAATTTGTCACCACGTATATACTTCAGTGTTGATAAAATCTTTGCTGGCACATATTGATCGATTTCTGTCGTTTTGGTGAATACCTGTGCAATATCTCTCTCATTCGTTTCAACCTCGCTAGAACAGAAACAAAAGAGCAATCACACTAGTGCACGACTTGTAAGTAACGTAGAAATTTGAAAAATCTATAGATCGTAACAAAGATTGAATTTTTGTTGAAGAGTTTTGTTTTTTTGTAAGGACCCATGTAGAAATTTTTACCCAAAAAAATAACTATTAAGTACTTTCAATAGTAGGTTTTCAGCAGAACAAAGTACTTATAAGTGAACCTTTTTAAGTACTTTTCATACTTTTTGACTAAAAATTACGATTAAGTACTTTTGAAAGTAGGAAAAGTATGAGAAAGTACTATAGAAAGTGAAAAAATGATCAGAAAGTACTATAAAAAGTGAAAAATAGTAAGAAAAGTTACTTTATTTTACTTTATTACTATTAAAAGTGATAAAAAGTGACTTTCGGTTCACTTTTTTTTTACATGGGGAATTTCTTTAATTTTTAAGATTTATAAAACTGATGGTTTTGTTTTAAATATAATTCGGCTTTGTTTTCAAAGAAAGACATAAATTTCTCTATAGATACCTTTATAGATCTTATTAATTTAATTTATCAACATTTTGCCAAATGTGTTATTTGGTTCTATATAATTACTATCTGTAATGACTCATCATTTTCTTATATATCGTTTTCATGGTAAATCATGAACTGTTGTTATTAAACAAATACATTTTCAAAGCAATAGATAACTGTGACAATCGTAATGTACCACTCAGGTTCATCATATGTTTTGTTTATTAAACTGAACAAGTTTCTATGAGGATATTCTTCATCATATCTTTATACAAATGCTGAACATGAGCTAATGAAAGTGATAGCACTAATCATCAGTAACAAACGCTCGGCAATAACAAAAAAAATGCGGCGAAAGTCGTAAAATTTATTTTTAAAAGATTGATTCAATCTTTCATAATGTATACATATTATTATGTATTATTTATAGACAGAATGCATTTTCACAGGGCAACAAAAGGTAAACGGTAGTACTTTTGTTATGTCTAGGATAAAAGAGAAGGTCTTTTTTTTAATTGATTGCCTTTTCCTCATTTTACAAACGAAAACATA